GGGGTTGGACTAGATGACCCACAGAGGTCCCTTCCAACCCCTGACATTCTGTGATTCTGTCATTTGCTGTGTCAAGCCTGCTTGTCTGTATTTGCTCAGTGTGGTGCTGTTGCTAAGATAATCAGCTCCCATAGAAGGGCCGTGTACAGGAGCTCTAAGTTGTTCAGAATGGGTGGGGGAAGAGTAAGTAGAATTGTTACATTTTCTGAGTTTCCTTGGGCTGCGAACCCTTGCTTCAGCATCGGGGTGGATGTATGTGTGCATGTTGCTGTAGTGAATAGTGTGCAGCTCTGCTAGCATCTCCCTTAGAGCTGGAGCTTCGACATGGATAGCAGCAAGGGGTAACACCCTAAGCTGTGCTACAAGCACTCAGTATGTGTACTGTCCGGGCTTCACTGGTGTGCCTCTCAGCTGAAGCCAATAGAATTGTATATAGTATTAGGCCAGATGACCTGAAGGGTGGTTCAGAGCAGGGCTTATATCCTGTGTGATGCATGGTTCCTGTTCTTGTTAGCAAACATAACATTTCAGTTCCTGTTAAGACTGGAGTTTGATTGCTTTGAATATTTCCAAATAGCAGAAGCAAGTTTCTGGTCTTTTGAATCTTGTGCATTTTGCTTGTCTCTGACAGCCTCTTCCAGAGAAGTTTGTGGTGAAGGGTGTTGTCGATCGCTTTTCTGAAGAGTTTGTGGAGACGAGGAGGAAAGCATTAGACAAGTTCTTGAAGAGAGTAACTGATCACCCGGTGCTTTCTTTTAATGAGCACTTCAATGTGTTCCTCACAGCCAAGGTAAGACAGTAACTTCCAAGCGCAGTCGTTGACAGGGACAACGTAACAGACACCTTTGCACTCTTTTGAAATGAAGGTAAAAAAGGCATTAATAAAACTACATGTACAAGTCAGAACGTCCCCTGAAATACCAGAGAGTTTTTGGGACACTGAAGGTCGTGTGTGACAGACCCCCGTGTGTGACAACCGTATGGGTTCCCTTTGCTTGAAGGGAGGGGAGATCTGCAGACCTACAAGTTCAATTCTCCAGACCTACTTGTTTTGTGTCCCTGTATCTAGAACATGCTCCTCTGATGCAAGAGAGGTTCAGAATTTAGAAAACTGTAGACTTTATGAAATCCTCTTTCAGGGAGGAGGGAAGTAGGGGAAGAGGAGACATCTCGTGCGCAAAAGCTTGCAAATTTCTTGACTCTTTTCTCGTCGGTTCCACACTGCTTGCCCTTGTTGCCCACAAAACTCAGTGTTGAAGACCTCATTCTTGTTTGTTCTTGGTCAACAACTTCATGCTCATCTTCTGCATGACTCATCCAGCAACGGTGCAATTTTCTTTGACTGTGTTTTGAACTGCATTTTAAATAAGACTAGGAGGACCTACAGTCATGTTTAGGTTTGACCTGATAAGTGAGGAGAGCTGTAAAAGCACAGCTTTCTAATGTCACATTATGCTTGCTCACTCAGATGTGACACTTAATCTGAGTTTACTTCAGGCTTGTGCTCTGCTTGCTGGTAATCTGAGACTCAATCTCTAGTTCACTTTTATTTCCCCACCGTGGTGAGTTTAACTGCTGAAACAAGCCAGAAATGCAGAATTTGTTTAACACCTTGATAGTTAAATGTCAAATAGCTTTGTTTTGTTTTTCAGCTGTCAAAGCATGACGCAACTTTCTTAGCTGCTTAGTCATCTTCTCCCACCCCTGCAAAATGAATGGCGAGGGCTTTATCCTCAGCCCTGGGTAGGGCTTGCCTGGAATACAGAGTGTCCAGGGAGGGTGAGGGAAAAGGACATGTGTTCTTCTGGCTGTCGGTGGTGTTGGAACTTGCTGTGTTGCAGCAGAGAGGTGTGCTAGGACTTCAGAACAGAGTTACTGCAGAAGGTTGTGAGACCACCTTCTGGCTGAAAAAGAGAAACGAACCTTTTTTCAAGTTCCCTGTTTGAAACAGTAACACACCAGAATGCTTGAGAGAGCAAGTGGATAAGTGAGTTAAGGGGTCATTTTCTGATGCGTGCTTGCAGGTAGTGCTTAGAACAGGTGGAAGGCAAGAGTCAAGGAACTACTGCATTTAGCTGAAAATGTAGTTCACAATTATAGTAGCTCCTGAGATGTCAGGTTCTCTTAATCAGACTTATGTTTGACTTATGTATGAGTACTTGGAAAGAATACCATAGTACATGTTTTGAGGAAGGCTGTTGTATTTTTTTTTTAAAGGATGCTTCAGCTTTTAGTCTAGTCTATAATACCATGTCTTGATTCTTGACTCTGCAGGTCTACTTGATTTGACAACATCTGTCAGGCTGTGTAGGATAACCTAGTTATAGCTCTTCAGCCTGTTGTGGAGTAGTGACCCCTGCTGGAAGGAGTAAAGTGCAAAATGAACGGCATTTTAGCTAACTAAAAAGTTTTCTGATGTACTGTCAAGGTGAAACCCCTGAAGATTGTAGATAACAAGGTTGTTAACACAGGTTGTCTGAATGTTGGTTTATGCAAACATGTAAAGCCTTGATAAGGAAGTTTAAGCTTGCTGTGCAGACAACATGGCTATGTGTGACCAAGCCTTAGCTGCAGTCTGTCTTGCAGAGAAGCTGTGCTGTTTTTGTGTACTGTCTTCACCTACCTCCTATCTGACCACACAACTGGTGTGAGGAGGCTTCTGACCAAACAGGCATGCAATATGTAGCTCTGTACCAGGTCATGAGAGGCCACTGGTGCATTTGCGTAAGACTAGTATTGTGGGCTAAGACTTAAAAGTATGTGTGGGTGAATGGCATGAACAGTATTGGTGGAAACAGAGCAGTTAATATCACTGCTTCTCTGGTGACAGTACAGGAACATGGGCAAGTCTGGCCATGTGCAAAGGTGGACTGCTTACCCATAGTGTACTTCATATTATTCTCCTGGATAGCTCATCTCCATTTAGAGGAAAGTGTGCTCAGCTGTACAACTTGTACAAAGTGAGGTTTTGTCCAAGGCTGCATGTCACGTGTAATCTCTTGCCTTCACAAGATTTCATCTTGACTTGAAAGTATCTTTCACTGTATTAATCTTCCAACATGCAAGTGAAATATTTCTAAAAATTTGGTTTTGTTTTTTTAACTTCCTAGGATCTTAATGCCTACAAGAAGCAAGGAATGGCATTGCTGTCAAAGATGGGGGAGTCTGTCAAATATGTCACAGGAGGTTACAAGTTAAGAAGTCGGCCACTGGAGTTTGCAGCCATTGGGGAGTATCTAGACACATTCTCTCTAAAGCTTGGTACCATTGACAGAATAGCACAACGGATTATCAAGGAACAGTTGGGTAAGAACGCAAGATGCTCTACCAAAATACTTCAGTCTGAGTGCTCTGTATCTTGTTCTTGTTGACGGCGTGACCAAGACAACTTATATCAAGGATTCTGGCTTGTAATGAGCCACAGAGAGCAGAATCTAATGCCTCCTGCATATATAAAGCAGACCCAAATCCTAGCACACTATCTTATGCTAGCTCAACTCTCCAAATATTTTTTTAAAGTCGCTCTTGTTATACCAACCTACTTTCTTACTAGAGCATTTTTGGAAAGACTTTTGGGAGGGGGAAAAACTTGTAGATTCCGTCTGGAGGCCTAGATGAAGATAACCTTTACAGGCCTGTTTTAGCAGAGCCAAGTTTTATATACGTTTAAAAAAAATGTCTTTGGCTACTGTACAGATCCAAATGTCTTTGTATTGGAAGCTTGTAGGAGTAGTCAGTTAAGCAGGAGGCAAGTTGGACCTGTCACATGTGCAGCCATAGAGCTATATCTGTTAAGTTGCTAATGCAACACATGACTTTACTGCTGGGGGAGTTAATGTTTGCCAGGCCTGGTGCGTAGTTTCTCCTGTTGAATGAGAGTGTTTGCAGATCCTTGTGCCTCACTCTTTGCTAATCTGCTTTTCCATCTGCCTCTTACAGAATACTTGGTGGAACTACGGGAATATGGACCTGTTTATTCAACCTGGGGAGGGCTGGAGGTTGAGCTTTCAGAGCCATTGGAAGGGGTGTCTGCCTGCATTGGGAATTGCTGCACAGCTCTTGAGGAACTCAGTGAAGACATGACAGAAGACTTCCTGCCTGTGCTTAGGGAATATATATTGTACTCGGAATCGATGAAGGTAGAGAGCCCTGTGGCAATGGACACTATTGTTGTGTTTGCATGGAATGATATATCAGCAAGTTCATTCTTTATAACAGCAAGAAGGGCTGGTGATGGGAAAATTGGGGAAGTCAATAGTACAGGAAGTAGGAGAATGGTTGACAGCCGGCTGAACATGAGCCAGCAGTGTGCCCAGGTGGCCAAGGCGGCCAATGGCATCCTGGCTTGTATCAGAAATAGAGTGGCCAGCAGGAGCAGGGAGGTGATCATGCCTCTGTACTTGGCACTGATGAGACCACACCTTGAATACTGTGTGCAGTATTGGGCCCCTCACTACAAGAAGGACTTTGGGTTGCTGGAGCGTGTCCAGAGAAGGGCAATGAAGCTGATAAAGGGTCTGGAGAACAAGTCTAATGAGGAGTGGCTGGGGGAACTGGGGCTGTTTAGTCTGGAGAAGAGGAGGCTGAGGGGAGACTTTATTGCTCTCTGCAACAACCTGAAAGGAGGTTGTAGCAAGGTGGGTGTTGATCTCTTCTCACAAGTAACAAGTGATGGGATGAAGGAAATGGCCTCAAGTTGTGTCAGGGGAGGTTTAGATTGGATACTAGGAAAAATGTCTTTACTGAAAGAGTTGTAAAGCATTAGATCAGGCCTCCCAGGGAGGTGGTGCAGTCCCCATCCCTGGAGGGGTTCAAAAAGCGTGTAGATATGGCACTTCAGGATGTGGTTTAGTAGGCATGGTGGTGTTGGGGTGATGGTTGGACTTGATGATCTTAGAGGTCTTTTCCAACCTTAGTGATTCTGTGATTCTATTCTATGATGTTTTCATAATCAAAACAAAACTAGGTATGTTTAGTAGCAGGGTACTGCATGGGTAGCATTATCTATCCGCCCTGGTATTCAGTTAAGCTAAGGTCAGCAATGCTAGGGTGCACACAGAGTGTTGAGGAGTAGCTCCTTCATTCGAGTGGCAGGTGGCCACATCCTGTGGCTGCCTGGAATCTTCATGCTGAATTGTTAGAAAGTCAGTTGTGGCTCAGCTCTTCGTTACTGGGTCAGTGCCTGCCCTTTCAGAAAAGGTAGCGTTAACAGCTTCTGTCACTTGTATATAGCAGGGCTGGGTGTCTCCTTTTGTAGCCATGTGTCCAAATCATAGAATCGTAGAATGCTTTGGATTGGAAGGGGTCTCTAGAGGTCATCTAGTCCAAATGACAGACACTGCTTCCTCTCATCCCCACACCTTAGGCAGGATGCTTGTTGTAAAGTTCTGTTAAGTTCTGCACACCAAATAACTGCTGAAAGGTGGTGTTCTGTGACTCTTAAGCTCTTTAAGAAGTTGATATCGTAGTGCTTTTGCAGAAGTAATAAAAGCTACTTCAATACTTCAGTTTTTATTCTGTTAAAGGTAGGGAGCATTGGCGGTTAATCCCATTGCATGGGGAAAAGAGTTACTGAGTTAATTGCACTGAAAACTGAAACGAAGGACTCTAGTTCGCCTGTTAGAGCTTTTCGCTACATGCCCATGGTACAGTGTGTATTAACAGTCCCTCTGTAGGGTACTAGACAGACAGATTCCTTTTGAGGACTTTCATTTTGGAACAACCGTTACAAAGCTATGGGATGCACTTATTCACAGATCTAATAGCCTGTTGTATAACTACAGTCTGACATGATAGTCCTTCTCCATCTTAATCTTAGTCATCCTATACTTTTCAAACTGAGAATTGAAACACTTACTTGCAGATTTCTTTTCCCAGCTTCAGATGGCTATTTGTATGGCTGCTGTCTTGCCTGGATGAAATATTCCTGCAGAAGGCTTTGTACTAATTTCCTGAGTATATCCTGTGCTTTTGTATTCATGGTATTGATCTCAGCGTGAATGAGGTGCATTTTCTTTATGGGACTATTAACACTCAAGTATTGCTGACACACCTTGGGCTGTAACTGGAAGCCTTGGCCCAGGGTGTTCAGACTTACCCATATTCTGTAGGAAGTGGGGTGTGTGTATACTTACAAATAAACAGAGCAGGAGGCAAGTGGTTAAAGCTTGTAGCCCAGAACATTTGGCTTTTGATGCTACAAATGCCATGGGCTATTGGGGGTGGCATCTGAAGTGGTGAGCTGAATTGTCAGAGGCGCTTTTCACAAATGTAGTGTAGCAGAGGAAAACTTCTTTTCGGCCTGATTGTAAAAGGGCTTTTGTCAGATGATGGCAAAGACACTAAGTACAGTCTCCAAGCCAACAGGTAGTCTAGCTGCAAGTCTTTAATGCTGCCCTACCTGTGGTAAGTGGTATTTAACTGCCTGAAGTAACTCTTCAGCTGAAGAAACCCTTGCATTTTAGCTTGATTTTTAGACTGTTGACTTTCTAGTGCCCTAAAGGATTCACTCTTCTTGTCAGTTATTCTCTAGTAATGGAATGACCATACTCATTGTTTTGGTGCTTTAGAACTGGTTGCATCAAGAAACCACACTTGCAAAATAGCATTTAATAGCAAATAAGGTTTATGCTGCTTGGTGTCCAGCTTGGGCATCTCAATAACTTTGTCTAAAAATCAGGAATAAAAACTATTGCTAGCCAAGGCAGACCATTCCTATTTTTCTTCCCTCCCAAATACCGAAACTAAAATTTCTCAGCTCATACAGTGCAGTTTTCTTATGTTAGAAATTATCAGTCTGTTGCGATTTCTGTGGTAAGCAGCTACAGAACCGTCTTCCCAGCCTCCGTAAAACTGAGTAAGTAACTGTAAAGGAGGCTACTCTTGAAGTGCGGGAGGCTTTCTGCTGGAAGGGCTGTCCTCTTCACTAGCAGTGCAGTCCTGTTCATTGGCTGCTATGAGGCCCACTTGTGAAATTAAAGTCTGTTTTGGTCTTTCAGAGCACAGCTGTTGAACAGGGTGATTGATGGAAGGTACTAGGAGTTCAGTGCAGCCTTGATAGCTTTCTGTACCTTGTGTACCCCAGGTATAGGTATGGGAACTTTGACCTAGCTAGAGATTGCTCTACAAATCAATGTCCCTCAGAGTAAGAACTGCCAGGTATCTTCACTGTTTTAGAGATGGCTGTCACCTCAGTGTCTGCTGCTGCGGTGGCATTGCAGCCCGAGGGAACTGCACATACAGAGGCAAAGCCCAGTAGTTCTGGCTGAGAAAAATACTGACTGATGCCAGGGAAGGCCTGTCTCTGGGTTCGTTTGAAAGATTTGTGTGAGTGGGGAGAGGCTGGCACTGCAGGCTTCAGTTAAAATGTGTGCTGGTGGTGTCTAGGAGAGACCTTTTGTAAAACACAGGCCATGTACAAGATGACTAGACACCATCTCGAATCCCAGTACAGTGTGGCCCTCGCCAAGCAGACGTGCAGTACCACATATTTTGTGGTATGCTGGTGTTCCCCAGGGAGGCAAGTGCAGAAGACGAACTCAGCACTATGTAATTCAGTGCTGATATTAAAATGTTCTATGAACTCTGTATGCTTAACACTGTCGGAAAGGCTTATGAGATGATGCGATCCCCAGTTGTGTGCTTGGACATGACTGCTAACGCATGTTTAAAGCAAGCACCACATGAATAGCTAACTGTTTCTCTATAGCTGTGCAGTAAATAAGGATCCTCTTGTGAGGTCTAGTTGTAGTAGGAAGCTGTGTGGTGTGCAAATGGCATAGGATTGCAATTTGAGAAAGGAGGCTGATGGCACACTCCTGAAGCTCCTTCAGAGATACGGGCCAAGGTGAAATGTTTCAACTAAATACAAGATGGAGAAGGACCTGCCTCACTGAAAGCAAGCTAAGTATTGTTTGTACAGGCACTAGTGGCTTAGTTCTGTCCCCAAATGGCTGAAATCATAGAATCATAGAAAGTTTTGGGTCGGAAGGGGACCCCTAGAGGTCATCTAGTCCAACCCCCCTGCAGCGAGCAGGGACACCACTAACTAGATCAGGTTGCTCAGAGCCCTGTCCAACCTGGTCTTGAATGTTTCCAGGGATGGGGCCTCCACTGCCTCTCTGGGCAACCCATTCCAGTGTTTCACCATGCTAATGTGGTTGTGTGATGGTGTTAGTTTCTTCCAACTTCTTTTGTTTAGTTTTGTTTTGTTACTATTTTTCTCTCTATGTGAGGCCTTAACTAACAGAAGTATTGCATAGGCTGTGGTAAGTCTGGGGATGTTGGTATAGAGCTGTTCAGAGAAGCTGCTGAAGCATTAATGCGTTGATCTACAGCTGAGGAGAGATTGCCTGGAGGTGCCAGAGGAAACACTTCCTTTCACATACGGGACAAGTGAAAGGGAAGGCAGTATTTTTCGTATCACTGACCTGTCAGCAATTAATGGGTATTTAAAGCTGTATTCAGGAGCATACTGTTAATGGTCCGCAGTGGATGGACTTGAGCACTAAGGGAGAAATAAGACAGCTGTCCTTTGAATCTAGTCTGCTGATCACGGGCCGTCAATCACTGGCTACTCCTGGTACAGATCCAACTCACTCCACTAACTCTGGACACCTAAAGACTGAATGCAATTGCTGGCGGCAGCTGTTTTTCTGAGAAGTTTCGGTTGACTCAGGTTCAAGAGGCAATACAAAGTAGAAATACCTGTTAAATCTCTCCGGCTTTTGTAGGATTGGTAACCTCAGTCACTTAAGGGCGATTCCACATAGTTCCTTAGATTCTGAAAGGAAGGGGAATGCTGTGGTTTTACAAGCAAACACAACCAATGGCATGCTTGCTTGCATCCCTTTTGGAATAAAGGGGAGAGTTAAGCTGCTGAAGGTGAATTTTTCAGTTTTGCCCTGGCTTTTTTTCGTAAAGCTACAGCAACTTTGTGGGGTGCCATTCCTGTTTATCATGATCTGAGGTTTGTAATAATATTGATGGCAACGTCTACTATCTCTACTCTAGAGCAACTGCACTGCTGACCTTCCCTTGGCTTAAGAGGGAGGAGAGGGAAGATCATGATTAGTAGGTACAGTGTTTGCACATCTTTAATTAGGAAAACAGATCTTGGCTAGACTGTCTCGTAGAGCTCTGAGAACTACTCTTTTAAGTAGATATTTCCGCAGGCAGAAGTGCATGTGACTAGTCCTGCTTTACTAGCCTTGGATGAAGGTGTTAAAATGACTAGTTACCTCCTTCTGTCCTAGTGGGACAGTGCCTTCTGGGTGACAGAAGGGAAGACTCAAAGCATGAACTGGCCATGCTGGCCGCAAGGCAAGTTCAAATTTACAAGTGCCTCAGCAGTGAGTGTTGGTTGACTTCCCTCAGAGCATTTTTAGTAATAACTTTGCATCAACTGAGTTATAAAAAATTATTACTTGTTTCCTTGTGAAGACTGAAGAAGTTGCCTACTCTTGCAGCCACAGAACTGCTTATTTTTTAGTAGTATATTCTTAAAAAGACTAATTGCTGTGTTTGTTTTTAAATTGTAAGACTATAGTATAACCTTAGTGGAGATCCTGGCTTGTGGATGTAGTACGAGATAAGGGTAGCATCTTTTGCTCTCTGTTCTGAGAATACTCTGTCAATCACATATTTACTGCTTGTGAACCTCACTCAGGTGAGTGAGTCAGTGCTTTTCACATAAATTGTGCTTTTCATAATTTTCAGTTTTTTGATTAAACCAACAACCAGACACCCTCTCCCCCCAAGTGATGTAGAAGGAAAGCTTGCTTTTGTTCTAATATGTGAATATAATAGCTTGCTATATAAAGGACTTTGAGGAGCCTTTGCAAGTGAAAAGGGAGATGTAATACCTCTGTGGTGGCCTTCCTGTTGTCTGTCAGCAGCTTGAGGATATCAGGAGCTTTGCACTAGTTGTTGACAGCTCTGATGCTTTTGTTTATATCCTTTTCATGCTAATAATAGGTCAGCTGATGAAATGAATTTACTTAGTCAGGGTTGTATTCATGGTTACATGACAGCTTATATCTTGCATGCCTCCAGCTTGTCCAAAAGTTGAATTTTATCTGACTCTGCCAGCTGCTGGAGAGCAAGTGCTCTTTGTTTTTAAAAGCTACTCCCTAAATAACTGTAAAATAGGACAAAGTCAGTCAGAAAGTCTAACTGCAGACTGAGTTAGCACTTAAGCTGTGTCACTTGGCAGTTTCTTGCAGGCTGGGGAGGAAAGGAACAAGAGGATCCCTCTCACAGCTTTCTATTCTCTTGCCTGTAGAATGTGTTGAAGAAGAGAGACCAAGTTCAAGCGGAGTATGAAGCAAAACTGGAAGCAGTAGCCTTGAAAAAAGAAGACCGTCCAAAGGTTAGTACTTCCAACTACTCTACAAAACCAGCTTGCACTAAGATTACTTCCTGAGAAGAATGGAGAAATGGAACTTGCTTTGTCTGGGCCTGGCAGCTTCTTTGCAGTATAAGCAATTTCTGACAAAACAGAAGTTTGTTGGCAAGCTGGTGTGAAGTAAAGACCTAGGTATGAACATACATAACATGCCAAGCAACTTCTGCACTACTGATCTCCCACCGTTCAGAGCAGGATGGCTCTCACCTGTGTAACACTTGAACAACAGCCAGCAGTCAGTTGGCGTGTTTAGCGATGCGATCTGAAGCAGTGGTAGAACAGTGCCTAGTGATTTAGAAGTATGTCAGCTAGCTGAGTTAAGGTCTTAGCCCTGGCACTGCTGAACTGCATTGTAGGACACCTGTTTTGACTGTGGAGGGAGGGCTCTGTGTTCTGCCTCTTCTGTTAGGCAGCTCCTCCTGTGTGATGCTGAACCATACGGCAGGTGTGATGGGCTTTGGCTGGGCTTCGTGCAGAAGCAGAGCTATACACTGGCGTGCTTATGCTGCCACCTGCTTTCTGCATGAAGCCATCTGTGAGAACCCTGTCTTAAACCACTTTCTCCAACAGTGACAACAGCTTTTGTTCCCTTCCTGTGCTTGGGGTGTCTTGTTCCTCTTCATCTGTGTGTTAGTAACTAATGGATGACTTTCCAGTATTAGGACTACTGTAGAATAATCTTACAGGAGGTCCACATAATGTCTGTAAGAAGCAGTAAGAGCACCAGAGCATAGAAATGCAAACTAGTATTTTTCTGATTTTGTGTCTGTTATGGACTCTACAAATAGTAGTGTCTTGGGCATCTTGTGATGCTCTTGTATTTTGGTCTTTTGCCTGCCCCGCTGCTGGCTGGTGTGGTATGTACTCCTGCTTCTTCAGTGTAGCTTTGTAGAAGCAGGTATTCTAACAAGCTGTAGATAGGATGGAGAGAACTAAAACCAGCATATCCAGCAAGGCTATTGAGGTTTTTAGGCATTTGACTTTATCAAGATTTTGATGTAGTGGAACTGTTGAACTTTGCTAATCTCTCACCTCTCAGTGGGATTGTGTAAAGCACAGCACTTAAATAGCTGTCCAAGATTTTTTTGAATACTTATGTCTTCTGTCTAGAGTATAAGCATACCTTTTGGCAACTCCTTATACCTTTTTTCTAATATAAGCCTTCTGTGTCATTTACAAAATGAAGTTGAACAAACTAATAGAACTCCTTGCATGTTCATAACGTGCTAACTCGTGGTTTTCAGATCCTTTCTACCTGGAGGGAATGTCCTTGTCTGTGAGAGCTGGTAGCTCAGCTGTGGCTAGCAACACATCTTTCATTCAGTGAGGTCTCTTGGCTATGACTTGCTGGAAAGTAAAAGCAGTCAGAGGGTTGTGAGCTGGGTTATGCAGTGAACAGTATTTGTGTCCCTTTTGGCACATTTAGCTGAAGTGGCAGAAATTATGTTATGTTAAAAAACCTAACAAACTAAAACAAAACTTTAAGGGAAAAAAGGCCTACTTTTGGATCATGAAAGGAGTGCCTGTCATTACTTGTTAATCTCTTCCACTGGAGGGCATTCTGCGACTGTACACATAATCAAACTGGCTTCACAAAGCTATGTTGGTGTCATTAGGTTGTTCTCACATTGAGATGATCAGCTTAGAACTTGGTGGCCTATAAATGCAGAAGGCTCGTAGGGCTACTGCAAATGTCTGTCAGCATATACTGCTCAGAATGCTCAAGTTTACACCAAAAGCATAGTGTGTGTGGTGTTTTTTAACGCTAGCACAACAGTATTAGGGCAGAGTCTGCAGCCTTTCTGTCTGTAACAAGTACAGTGGTGAAGTGCTGCTTACCCATTTCTGACCCATGCTGGAGCTGGTTTTGAAGTAATCCAACCAACGTAGTGAAGCTCAGGCGTTGGTTTCTGATTGGTGGGATGAAGTTCACCTCTGATGACCTAACTCATTCTGTTTGCATCAAGGCTTTGCAGTGTGGTGATCTATGGGAACAGTAAATATGGCAGTGCAGGACTTGAAGTAGAAGGTGAGAATCTGTATTTACAGGAAAAAGAAGGCTGGGCTGGTAACATTATATGGTTCCAGAGAACTAGGACGGTGGAAATGTCATATGTAGAGGTTAGTTGCCTAACAAATGCTGGATTCGTTGTGCTTCAGGACCATTTGTTACTTGGTAATTATGCTGTAGAGGAGTTTTAAAAAAGTGGATATGCTTATGCTGCCAGCGAAGCCATCTGCACTTGGCCACACTAAATTGTAGACGTGAGGCATACTTAGAGGCGTACTTAGACTCTGGTCACTTCAAGAATTATGTGAAGAGGAATAGGTGTAGGTGAAGAACTTCTTATCATATAATGAGGTGACCAGACTCCTGAATATACAGTTTTACAGTCAGTTCTTGCCTGCCTGTACATATCTTCTCAGTTTAAATTGACTCATTAAAATAGTGGTGGGCACTTCTAGAGTGTATTGGAGTTTGAACTAGTTGTCACTTGGTTTTGGGACTGGGTTTTTTGAGCTACTCGAGTAGCTGAGAGCAGGGATCGGTAAGAAAGTAGCAGCTTCTCCCAAAGTCCAATCTTCTTTCTTCTCAGTTCCTAGTTGCTAGCTAATATTTAGTATCTCCACTGGTAGCAGCAGATAAAAGCATCAGTATTGATGTTTCAAGGTATGCCCAAATTTGATGTTAGAACTATAGCCTCTCATTTCATTAACCTTGCAGTAGATACAAACTTCTTGGAAGTTGTTAATTAACTTAAAATTTTGTTTCAGCTACTGAGTTGCAACTTCTGTTCTGAGAAGCCGCAGTTTTGGAAGAAAAGGTGTTTAAACTTCTGAACAGGACCGGTGCATGTGCAGGCACTGCTTTTTCACTGCTGTTGCTTCTTAATTGGAGCATACGTGACCCATTTGCTGACCACTAGGTTGTCCCTGTAGCTCTGAACTCGTACAGCGCTCTCAGCCTTGCCTGCAGGAGAACTGGCTGTGAGAAAGAACAGATTTTTTTTTTTTAATAGCTTGTGGTTTCAGATCCTGGCAGAAGAAGCAGGAAGCTGGTGAGTGCTTAGAAATTAACTTAATTGGGTTGGGAAATCTTATGTGGTTTTGCTTCCAGACTTTGACTCCTGATGGCCTAGCCTTTCCTGTTAAGACAGCAGAATACTTACAGATATGACGCAAGGCATACTTGCCTTGAGAGGAACATCTTCTACAGCTTCCAGCCACTGACTTGGTAGCTCTTGTCTGAAGCCTAGAAGAGAACTTCATGTCTTGAATTGTAGCAGAGTGGATTCTTTAGCCAAAAGTATAGTGCTCAGAGGGTGGGGGAACTGTGTAGCTACTGAACCCGCAAGCTGCCTGTATTGTAAGTCCAGTTGTGTGGATAAGGGGTATTCAGATCCCATGAGTATGAAGGACGTGCTTCTTGTGTCTCAAACAACTTTATTGGAGAACAGATCTAGGACCTTCTCTGAGTATTAGTTGGAATACTTCATTGATTGGCCCTAATCCATATCCTGGAGAAGACCCAGAGTTGATATGTTTCTATCTAAATTGTGTACCTTGCCAGACTTCAAGGTAGCAGCACACCTCTAACTTCCTATATCCGTGAAAAACTTCTTGCATAGTACCTTCATCCTTTTCCTTCATGTCCTTCAAAGAAAAAGGGAATTTCCTGAAAATATCAGGTATGACAAGAGCCACTACAAACTTCTGCAAATGTTCTTCGTTCTGCCTTTTGCCTTTGTGCAAGTTACAGCTTCCAGAGCAGAATTTCACTACTTCTGTTGGTGCTAGAGCTCAGAGCTTGCCTCTTCTGAGGTCATGGGCTTAGTCTGCATGTCCTTACAGGCTTCTTGTCTGTGTGGACCATGGAGCACAAAGAGAAGGGAGAGAAAGGTGTTCATGGCTTTCCTGTTTGAAGAAACGTTTCTAACTTGTTCGTTGTAGTTGCCTGTTGGTATACATGATATTAGTTAAAACATAGGCAAAGAACACCAACTTCTTTGGCCGAAAGTGCACGTACCTTGAGCTCGTGACTACTGTCATAATCCATTTAAATCTCTCCCTAGGCTCACAATAGGCTGTCCTTCAAGATTTCTCCCACTGCGTATGGGTGATTATGTGTCCAGTGTTGAGCCCAGAGGCCCATGAGCCAATCCACAGTGCTGCTCATCAGTGCCTTGCACTTGCATTTTTTTCAGGCAGCCTGTAAGGTTAAAAATGGAAGCTAGAAAATTAGAGGCTTAGGAATTTTATTCTGCAGCCATAGCTGATCACTGCTGTTTGTATAGTACAGTCATGAGATAACACTGAGTTCTCCTATCCAGCTCTTTGGGCAAACGTAATAGTTTGTTGTTTCATACTCCCTAGTGTAAATCGAGAAGTGCAACTGCGAATGGGAAGGAGGAGAGAAAGCTTGCTCCGGAGCTGTAGTCAAGCTGCACAGTTTGAGAACTAGGAACTGAACACCCGGTGCTTACACCAAATGGTTTTCTTCTTCATGTGCCTGTAGCAAGCTCTTACCCAGCCTGGCTCAGTATCTGGCATGGAGATGGACGAGAACAACTGCCCACCACCTCAAACTGCAGAGATCAAATTAGGCAGTCTCGTCTCCTTGCTAATACAGAATCGGGGTTTTTCTCCCTGCAGCTATAACTGAGTTTATTCTGGGTAACTACTGGGCTGTTAACTTATTCTTTCCTCTGCAGCTTTGCTCAGCAAGGTTGGAGTTAATTCAGAAGTATAGCACTCAGTCACAGTTTCAATCTGCATTTCTTTTGCTGCAGGTACCCACAGACGTTGAGAAATGTCAAGACCGAGTAGAGTGTTTCAATGCTGACCTGAAAGCAGATATGGAGAGATGGCAGAACAACAAAAGACAAGACTTTAGGCAGCTACTCATGGGGATGGCAGATAAAAACATCCAGTACTACGAGAAGGTATGTGGTACTGCTGAAGCATTGGCAGGAATAAGAGTAGATCATTTTTCCCTCAGGTTGTGAAAATTCTTCAGGATATCTTCTTTCTGTCTTGAAGAACATTGCACATCTAAATCATTTGTCTAGTGCTATGGAATCTGCTATTTGTCATCAGCTTAGTGTAATCTGTTGAGTGGTTGGTCATGCTCAAGTGATCTGCATGAGACTAGCAGCCATTTGCAAGGCAGCCCTGTAACACCATTTCACCCTGGATGCTTGTCTATCTTGCATTCTTGAATTGACCAAATTACTGGGCAGCAGTAGTGGTGATGAAGACCACCAAAATTGTAATAATACCAGACTAGAAAAAATGTTGATTGTGCCTTTTATGAACCAAACTACATGAGTTAATGTACATCCATGGATCCATACATAGATTACACCTGGTATGCATAAATTATTCTAATCTGGCCCCTTCTGCATATTTCTGTCTCTTGTATGCTAGTCTTGGAAATACCTAGTCAGGTGCCTTTGCCCTGTTTCAGTTGGAGCAAAATATCAGGTATGAGAACGGAGATTCAGTGGCAGATTTTTTGAAGTGAAAGGGCCTTGACATTCAACTGCGTATGCTGTCAGTCTAGTTTTCCTTCATGTTAGAACAGTGCTGCCTAGTGCAGTGGTTGATATATTAAACACTTCTAGGCTTATGCACGGTGACACACTTCATCTTCTTGCCTATTGCTTATTTCCACATCTACTTTACAAATTTCTTCCTGTGCTAGGTTACCTCCCCGTGTATTACAAATGTGCTCTTCCTTTGACTCTTCCAGTGTCTGTCTTGTCAGTAAGTCATAACAAGCCACACGGAACTTGCCTCACCCTGGTCTCCTAAGACTGCTGTAGGCTAGGGGTGTTAAAGACTCCACTGAACACCCAGCAGTGCCCATGCAGTTGACAGTTAAATCTGTACATCTTAGTTTTGCTCTTAGCTGCAGCAAGGAAGCTTTTTGGTAGGAACGTATGTAATCACTTCAGGATATACAACTACAAATACTCTGTGCACCTTCAGTACAATCAGCAAGATTCGAAGGAAGACGCTTGACAACAATGACTTGCAGATAGAAGAGCTGGTGATGAGTTTGCCCATTCCCAATGTTTAATAACATGTATTCCATAGTCTGTATTTGTCCAGTTTGACTTCTGGGCTGTACGTGGTTGAAAGAGAGTAATGATAAACAGCACAAGGATTGGCGTGAGTGTACATGTCTGGGGAAATGACTCCAAAGCCTGGATTGACTGTCTAATAACCCAGAAGCTAGACTCTGCTTTCATTTTACTATACCAGGCACTACCAGTTTGTTGTGCAGTGGAGTCAAATCCCAGAGGTGTACTGGAGTACATTCTGTCTCTTAACTGCCTTCCCGGAATGCATGGATTTTTCAGATAAGGTAGTCTGTAATATTATGTCCAAAATTATGTCATTATGTCCAAGTTGGCCCTCTCCCACAGTCACATGACAAAGCTGTGAATTTCTACTAGAAACAGTTTGTCTGCCTAGCTGAAAGCTGTGATGTTCTTCAGTTTAGAAGAATCTAGCTTGATATTTTTTAATATTTACTTCTTCTTTCTTCAGTGCCTTACGGCGTGGGAGTCAATTATACCACTATTGCAAGACAAGCCAGAGACCAAGTAAGAAGTACCTTCATGGACAGTCTAGCACTTCTATGCTCAGTACCACTAGACATACTGGAACTGTATGAAGGACTCCTTTGTCAACTTAACTGAAATGACAGCTGCACTTAGGCTGGAACAGAAACTCTGAAAACTATTTGAATTTTTTTCCTCACTTTCTGTGTTTAAACTGGGGTATGTTTCATCTTTTTTGAGTTATCTTGAATGGTTCCTTCTTTATCCTATGGAGTGATTGGGGGTTCATAGTGAAAGTGCATGGGGATCTTGATAAAACTTACCTCTCTAATCTGGAAGGAACTGATGAGTGGAACACTAAAAAGATGAAAATAAAACTCTACTGTGAGGTGCCAAATGACATGTTTATTACCATTCTCTTTTGTTTGCTAAGAAAGAAGATAATTACTCCTATGATACAGTACTCCTTAACCAATCCTTATCCCTTTTTTGGATGGACAGGGAAAGGCTGGAAATTAATATTTTGTGGTTTGCTACCGCCCACATGCTCCCTCTGGATAAAATGGTTTCTGGAGACTTTTCTCTGCGGGAGTTGGGCTGGTCCTGGGCAGAACATACCAACACCACCTGCTGATAGTCTGTGATGCAAGCATGAACTGTGGTTTTTGTGAGTGTGGCATGCTGTTGGTTCATACTGAGTGTCTTTGTTTACCTTGGTGATTATGAAGTAACGTCAGTTGGCTGAAGTATACTTGTGTCTGACTTGAGGATCAAAATCAGCCTACCTGCAGGAGTGAGTTGAACAGCGGCCTTTCAAGACTTATGGGAATGGTGAAAGCAAGTATGAGTATTTAGTGTATTTTTTCCAGAGCTAGTTCTGGAAGTTGCATGGTAGAATTCTTTTGGTCCATGCTTTAAATTTTCTTTTTTCTGAGCTAGAGCCACTTTGGGCTTGGTCCCTTAAGGTGCCTGCTGTAGTAAAGGTAGAACTCTGCTTTCTCTCCCTATGTTTTGTTTTTTCAGTAGCCAAAAAGTGTCAAATACTTGCTTACACCAAGCATCATTGTGTGTGAAACTTGCCTTAAACAGGTTGATGAGGGTAGGTGGGTACCCGGTTAGGTGCACATAGTGTTCATACCTGTCTCTACTGAACCACGCGGCAAGTCTTTTAAGACTACTTTTGGTACAGATCTATTTTCTTAATAGTTTTTATTGACCTTTAGAAATGTAACAGCTTCTGCAAGTCGCTCTTTTTCCCTTTCTTTTGTAGTCCCACCTCAAGTAAATGCCTGCTTGGTGTTAATGGCCTTAGGAATGCTGCCGTGATTCCCAGGGTCCCAGAGTCTTGGTTTAACAGCATGCAGATAAATCCTTTTTAACCATCCTAAGTGAGGGGTGTTGGGGCCAATATCAGTGTGATATTGGGATTTGGGGGAATATCTGAGTGCTTACTGCTAAACTTGAGTGATGACTTGATCTCTGGCAACAGTCTTGCGAAGAATCTGAGCAGTAACTGAGTATGTGCAACCTCTGTGTTCTCCTGTGATGACATACCAGGTTCTAGTCTAGTTTGAAATTTATCCCTGCATAAACACCAAGCATACCTGAAGCCCCTCTGCTCAGCTTGGTGGCTTTATAGCGACTGTCAAGATGAGTTACTGCAGCAACATGGTAGCTGTCAGGCTAGTGAAATAATGCTCTCTGTGTGCAAAAGTTAAGTTTAAGACATTTTAAGAGGTCTTCCTTCTTGACTCAGTCTCCATTGACAGTTCTGTGATACTAAACAGACGACACTTTTTGGTTTAAGCTCACAGTTTGTCAATATACACTTATTTGGTGTGAATGAGAACTCTGCTTTAAGACGCTGTTAGGTCCATAATGACAAACTGCTTTTGTGCAAGGGAAGTGCTTAAGGGGATCATCTTGAAACAGTAACCAAGTGTTTTCCTCAATCTTTGCCTTCTAAAATAAGGACTTGTATAACATTGAACAGTCCGACCTTCAGGATTACAGTTTTCCCTATTTCCCATGAACTGAGATCAACATACTTTTTTGGGCTGGTTCCTGTGCGGGAAGTGGAATTTTGTAGATGAGTCTGCAGCATCACTGGGAGTCAAGCAAAATGTAATTTGAACTAATATTTGGACAGTCCTCCCTTTGCCTTATGAAAAGATAGTGCAAGGTGAGTGGAAAGGATGGTGGGTTTTTTACTACAGGTGAGTAGGTTTTGTCTGATGCCTTACAACACTGAGGTCGTGTTCTCTCTTAGATTTATGTCAAACTGATGTGGGTGTTGGTTTGGGGGAATTTATCAATTGACATAACAACTGTTCATAAGAAGCATAATGGACAGTGGGGAGTACCAAGTGGAGTTCAAATCAGCGTATAACTGTTGAGGCTGGAGCTGCTGAAGATCAGCTTAAATTTTGTTTAATCTGATGCCACTGATTCTGCAGCATGGTTTTTAAACTAGTGCTCATCCAAAGTATGTTTCAATTTAGATATATCCCTTTCTGGATAAGCTGTTGAAATGCAGGCACACTTTGCTCTTCCCTGTTGGAGTATGTGTCTCTGTGGCACCTGCAAGTTGATCTGGAGGAGAGGCTGGAATATACACCTCAGGCTGTGGGCGCTAACAGGATTTCTTACACTATCTGGAATGCCAAAACATCCTCTGGAAGAACTGCTGCAGTGTAAGAAGGGTGTGTAGTGGTGGGTCTCTGAGCTCCTATGGGCTCTGAGGAGTCTTGTTGTAAAGAGCTGTTGTAAATCACTAAGTAACTGTGGAGAGAGCTGTGAGGTGTGGGGAGGATCCTGACTGTGAGGTTTGGGGTGGCGATGTTGAACAGGAGAACTACAAAATAGCAGGAAACTCTTGTAAGATATAAAGAGTGACACTTGTAAAGAGGGCACTTATTAACTGCTGTTAGTGGGAGGCTGAGATCTGAACTGTTAGTGAAACTCTGACGTGTTATTCTGTAATCCTTATAGGACAGGAGTCCCTCCTTTGGATCGCCCAAACTTCAAGTGTGAAAAGTAAAAGGTGTTGGTAAAGCAAAGCAGGGATAGTGCAGGAGCTTCATCTTTGAGTATCTTCTTGTGTTCAGTCACTTAAGATCACCCTCTGCTCATGCAGTAAAATTATGTCAAAAGTAGTTGCACCCTTTCTATGAGCCTATGTAACATGTGTGTCCTTCAACAGTCCTTAAATTAGCCCGGTTTTTCTTGTTCCGTAACCAGACCAAGTTTTCTCTGAGGATGCATAATTCAAAGCTGTCCTAGTTACTTGTAATTTGTGGGATGTTTGTTTCTTCACTTAACTGGAACCAGCACAATAAAGCAAGCATGGAGATCTTGTTTTCATGCTTGGTAATGAACTGTGCATTGTTCATATGTATCCTTACCACATTCTGACTCTTGCAATAAACATAGGTGTTGAAACGTCACGGCTTTTTCAGGTGTCCACTGAAAAAGGGAAAGGTAAAAGGTGTAGCCTGAAAGACACGAATTCTTCTTCTGTTGCAAGTTGTATCCAAGAATAAACTATGGATTCTTTGCTGAAGTCTACTTGGATTTTTCTCACACTGGCACTTGTGCTCAGGATAGAGTAGTGGGATGACTGGTAGAAGGAAACATCGGCAAAGCATGAGTGGCAGAGACAGTCCTGCAAAGGTACTGTGATGTAGCCTTGCAGCAGTGGCTCTGTGTGGTCTGTTCATGATGCATATTGCTTCAGGTGTTGGTCCTGCAGGTGCCAAGGTCCCACCCCACCAGGGACTGTTCAGTGTTTTAACAGGAGCCATGCTTTTGTTAAAACTTGCATAATTTAGCTGAGTATGCTTAATGTTGCAGACTGTTTAAAATCCTGGTGCTGATAACCACTGAGCAAAACTGCATAGACTAAACTAGCTCATTAGAAGTTCAGCTGTCTTAAAGCTAGAATGGTTTTTCCCTTGGTGTATTAACTTTTACTACAACAACAAATAAATAGGGGAAATGGGGTCTTTTTTTTAAGGTAGGGAACTTGCTACTACTTGCCAGGCTTTTTTTAATTTTGTAAAATAAAAATGGGGATCACAGGAATAACCTTGCCTTCTGGCAGTGTGAATGTTGCATTTTAAACTCTTTGGGAGTGCTGTTAAACAAGTTCTATGGAATAAAATGGCAATGCTTAATTCTGTGCTTCGCACTTCAGAGTCTTTTCGGGGTATCTGATGTGTACAAGTACTCAGTAACAAACTGGGCTAGTTTTAAGGTTGCATGGCTAAGGCATCGTGCTTGTGCAGAAAACAGTTCACTTTCCAAAAAAGGCATAAGTAGATCACGCTTATGTAAGTGGTATGCTAAAATGGTAAAGGCTGGCTGGTGTCCTAGACTGCTTTGAAGGCCTTGGTACTCTGTGCTTTGAAGCTAAACCATTTCCTTAACTCTGCTGCTGGGATATGTATCCATACCCTCAGATCCAGCAGCAGGGTTGGGGCCGGTGCCACATTCCCACTGCACAGGGAGACGACCGCAGAGGGGACAGTCTTACAACAGCCAAAGGGCTTTTGTCTTCAGTATATGAAAATAAAGCAGCACCATCCTTCTCTTTTCCTCTGTGCTTGCATCTTTGTCCCTTGTTCAGGTTTGGAGTGCTGGGCCATGCAGGTGAAGGCAAGATGGCTGTGGATGGAGGTGGACCTCATTCCCTCCCACCCCCCCACCTTGTTGACGGTGTCAGTCACTGGGGACCAAAATGGTGCTGCCTTACTGCCCTGACTCTTCCACTTCCAACCTCTGTAAACCCACTTGCCGGAACTAGAGTCACTGTTCATACTGTTAAAAACCGAAACGAAAGCTGTGAAAAGACCTGTCTCTGTGTGAATTAGCTAGTAAACAATGTGAAAATGGGAAGGAGGTTTTTGTTTCCTGCACTCGACCAAACCTGGCAACTGTGCTCTTGTTCAGACTCACGGGCTATGAAATGTTGTCTTGCCTTCTGGTGCTGGCATGTTTCTATACTCTTTCATATATCTCTGTATAAATATACTTTGTGCATTGTTTACTATGAAACTAGTATTGATGGAGAAAAACACTTTGAGGTAAAACTGTTTGTAATTCTCTATTAGTGTGTACATTTTTTTAAAATGCACCGTTTGTTTACCTCAATTAATTTAATGGAATGGACCAATAAATGTATTAAAAGATGACTCCTTTACCTAGAATATAAAGTTTCTTTTTTTTTTTTTGCAGCCTTTGCCATTGAAAAGATGTGTGCACTTATTTTGCTGGCCAGCTCACTATCTTACTACAGAAATACCCTTCCTTAAAATCTTGTTCCACTGCTGGTTTAACTAGAACTCATCTGTAGTAAATCTGGTATTACTTGAAAGTGAAGTCTGGAGCTGAGGAAAGGTTGCAAGAGTGTGT